TCGGTATCATGGTCCGACTGAACTTGAGGGTCGTCTAGGGGACGCCTCTCTTCAGGAGTCGGTACAGACTTGGATGCCATCTCAGAAGTACTCTCCCCACAGACGGCGCCAAATGTTTCGGGGTTTTCTGATGTCCTGCGGGAGAGTTACAATTCCGAGACTGGAACCGGACGCCTGTACCTGCAAAATAACGGAGACTCCTGTGAGCTCCGCCTCCAACGGTCAAGTTAGTACCTGATTAAGGAGTAATTAATGCGGAAATTAAAGTGATTTGGTCTCTCTAGGTGAGAGTGTTTAATGTAGGTAATCTGCTTTGTTAGCGAGATCAACCGGTTATTACTGTGTGTAATTAATGTGTTTTTTCCGTAATGTTTCTGTTCTCTTTTTTTTAATTCCCCTTAATGAGGATTAAGGGAGGTATTTATAACCTTGGGAAACGTGCCCATCCTAGGTTTAGGTAAACCTAGGGCTGATTGGGCTTCCCTCGGAAGTTGGGCCTGGGTGGCCGGTTTCTCCATTAGGCATGGAGTATGCCACATGGCTTGACATAACAGGTCTAAGGTGGACGAATAAGCGCGTGCCACGTGGGAAGCCCTGACTGTTCCAATTGGGGGACACTTGGCAGGACCTAATTGGTCCACGTGGCGCATTCCGATTGGTGGGAGCAAAATCCCCTAATCACTAAGTATACCTCAGCAAGGACCCCTGCAATCCCGTCTAGGTCAAGGGTGCCGACACCCCTGACCGCCTCCCTTTCAGCTGGAGGAACGGCCTTGATCATAGACTTGGCCACCTCGACCAAGTCAGGCTCCTGAGGGCCGGTTGCATCAAGCATAAACAAACAGATTAGACCTAGTAAAGAAGGGAGCAAGTCTAAAATTTACAAGGATAATTTCATACTTCTAGGTGGCCCAGCTGGAGTTTTAGAAGAAGTGGCCGGCTGTTTCTCAGCCGCCACATGTTTCCTGGCAGAACCAGGAGAGCTCGCAACAGTCGTCCTCCGGGCCTTGGGGTCCGGCTGTTGGGAAGAAGAAGCTCTTGGAGCGCCCGTCTAAAAAAGAAGAAAAGAGTCAGTATATGCATAAACACAACTCCAAAAAGAGGGTGAAAGGTTCGAAGCCCACCAAGGGTTCCCCCTTGTTGGGGGAGTCGGTTGAAGACTGTTGCATGATGGAGGCCCGCAACATGGCCGCCGTAGTCTTGGAGGCGGTAATTTTGCTCATGGCGTCCGCTGCAAAAACAAATAGCAAAGTTAATAAAAGTCATAACAAGAAATGCATGGAACAACAGAGTATTCGACAGGCCGGCTACCTCTTGAGCACCGACTGCTGAGGCCACAGGCGGCCAAAAAGTACTCGTCGTAGAGCCATTTGAAGCTCGGGACGTAGTGCAGGGGTACTTGCTCTCGTACCCCTGAAGTAGAGTTCACCTTCGACTCTACTTTGAAGAGTCCTTTATCTAGGATCTCTTTCTTAGCCTTGGGGGGAATAGGCGGCATGCTGCGGCCGCGTGCAAGAAGGGGCGGATTCCTGTTCCACCTTTTGAAGCGCTTGTTCAGCTCTGTGTCTGAACTCTCAATGATAAGGAAGGTGCTCCGCCAGTCCTTCCATTTGTTTGCTTTACCTCTCGTCATGAGGAAGCCCCTGTGGCTCGTTAATTGATACAAGCCGGTACCGCCTGCCTTAGGGGTCCGGCTGAGGTAGTTCATGTGGGCGAAAGCCTCGAAGTTTGGCTCCACCCCGTGCAGTTCGCACCCGGCCACATAGCCGAGTACGTTGACCCAGGAGTTCAGGGCTAACTACCATAACCCCAACTCATACCCATCCAAGATCCGCTGAACAACCGGATGTAGTGGGAAGCGCAGCCCAGCCTTGATGGCCGCCTCGTAGTAGCCAAAGCAGGCGCCATCATAACTGGTACCAGCCGGCCAGACGACTGTGTCTTCTGGATCCAGCACGAACACTAAAAAGTCGGGGCCCATTGTTTGGTTTGCGATAAAGCTCTCCACTTTCTCTTGCATGGCTGTGATCCGGCCCCGAGGTACCGTGTAGTAGTAGGGGGTATTTTGCTCTCGGTGAGAGGCGGATGGCTCCGCCCAATCGTCGCCCTTCTCAACTGCGTGAGAAAGCCTCGCCTCTTGCAGGCGACTGTTTTTCTCTTCTGTGTCCAAAGAAGCATGGCCAGAAGAGCTAGACTCGGAATCGTCCTCTGACGAGTTTGAAGAGGACGACTCCTCCCCTCTCCCGGAGGGGCCCGCCTCCTCTCCTTTAAAAGGAGCAGGAGAGAATGTAGAATTGTCAACTGTAAAATGGGAAGGGGTCACTTTGACTCCTCCCTCATAACTGCCGGCTTTCAAGCCGCTTTGTTTCACTTCCACATCTGGCGCCTGGTCAGATGTTTCACTAATCGGCACCCTGTGGGAGGAGCCGTCTGAGTTTGAGATCCTGGCAGTCTTTTTTGTTCTGGCCATCATGCTCTGCATAGACACAGATACAGTCGGACTTTGTATAAAGGGCAAAGATGGGTCCAGAAAAGGGCAGGCGGCACTCCTAGTCCTAGATTCAGCCTTCCCCGGTGACCGGCTGATCACTAACCTAGGTCGTGTCGTGTGCTTCCGTGGTGCCATTTCAAAAAAGAATAAAGTAAAGAGAAAATTAAGAGTAAGAGAACCGACGGTTACCTGAACGAGTGACGATTGATGAAGTTCTGAAAATCCTTTGCAGTCGGCTTGTCAGAGCAGGCGGTAGGCAGAAAGGGTCCAAAATGTCAGAGCAAGTTCAGGGGTCCGAATGTTCTCTCACAAAGTTTTCAAGTGTGAAAATGACCGAATTCAACACTCCTTTATATAGGCGAAGTGAGAAGGCGAAGGGTCACTTCCAGAATTCAAAATTTTGGCGGGAGAATCTCTCGGCCTCTCGCCGAGTGACACCTGTAGCAGGCCGTCGCCTGTTACAGGGCGATACCTGTCATAGGTAACACGTGACCAGTCACGTGCCACCTGTGAGGGGCAAATGATTAGGGGATTTTTCCCCACCAATCACCATCTGACAAGTGGACCAATCAGGTTTCGCCATGTGTCCGTCACATGGGCCAATAGGAGCCTGCCACGTGTCAAGCAATGATCCGTCCACTATGGACCAATTACGACACGACACGTGTCCTTCCCATGACACCTGGGATAACCGGTCACCTAGGCCCAACTTCCGTGGGAAGCCCAATCAGCCCAAGGTTAACCTAAACCTAGATTGGCACGTTTCCCGAGGTTATAAATACCTCCCTTAATCCTCATTAAGGGAGATTACGCAGATTACACACATTAAACTCTCTCACCTAGAGAGACTCAATCACTTTAATTTCCGCATAAATTACTCCTTAATCAAGTACTAACTTGACCGTCGGAGGCGGATCTCCAATCATTCGGAGCATCCGTTTGTTTTGCAGGTACAGGCGTCCGGTTCCTGTCTCGGAATTGTAACTCTCCCGCAGGACATCAGAAAACCCCGAAACAGGTACCTTTGTTCTACCTCGGTAAGTACATGGCTCACGAAGTATATTGGCCTTTGCTGCTTTTGTCTCTCTACCAGTAGGACGTATGCGATTGTTTGAATTGATGCGGAGATGTACAGCTGCAACTTTTCTCTCAGCTCCGGGCTGATCATTGTTGGGAGCTTGGTCAGATGCTCCTTAATACCCTCAAAGGCTTCTTTTTCTGCAGCCCCCCACTTAAATTCTCTGTTTCCTTTCAGTAGATGATAGAACGGCAAAGCCTTGTCCGCTGACTTGCTGATGAACCTGGTCAGCGCGGCCATTCTGCCTGTCAATTAACCGCATGATATCTTTAATGCACTTAGGCTCCGGCAAGCTTAGGACTGCTTCGACCTTTTCCGGATTTGCGTCTATTTCTCTCTCGCTGATCAGGAAACCTAAGAACTTTCCCGAGCTCACTCCGAAGACACATTTCTTCGGGTTGAGTTTGATTTTGTACTTGTTCAAGGTAGCAAATGTTTCTTCCAGAACCATGATATGCCCTGCCTGCGTGACACTCTTAACAATTGAGTTGTCAACATATACCTCAACATTTCTACCCTTCTGGTGCATGAACACTCTATCCATTGTATTCTGAAAGGTTGCCCCCGCATTCTTCAGCCCGAAGAGCATAGCTATGTAATTGTACACTCCCCCTTTGGTGATGAATGCGATTTTCTACCGGTTTGGTTCATGCAGGCTGATCTGATGGTACCTTGAGAAGGCATCCATGAAGCTTAGCAAGGCGTGCCTGCTGGTTGAGTCCATCAGCTGGTCAATCCGCGGCAGCGGGTAACAATCTTTTGGGCATGCCTTGTTGAGATCTGTGAAAGCAATACATATTCTCCACTGGCCATTTGCTTTTTTCACCATGACCACATTGGCTAACCACTCTGGGTAATCGCAAGGCTCGATGAATCCTGCCTCCAAGAGTTTCTCCACTTTCTCCTAGATTGCTTGATTTTTCTCTGTGGAGAAGCTTCGTTTTTTCTGCCTGATTGGCTTTATATCCTCCTTTACATTCAGCCTGTGGACCATGACTGCAGGGTCAATTCTGGGCATCTCATCTGCAGAGAATGCGAAAATATCCTCGTTCCTTCTCAACTGTTCTATGAGGTGTACCCCTACTCCAGGATCGATGTCTTTCCCGATCTTCACCGTTCTCGAGGGGTCACCCTCTGTGAGCTCAATTGTGACATGCTCCCCACTGGGGAGTGGCCTAGCCATTTCTTCCTTTGCGGGCTCAAAGTTTTCCATTGCTAGCTTCTGTTTATCCTTCTCCCTGTGATATTCTTCGCGCTTCCTTTTCTTGACTTCCTCTCAGCCCGGTCAGCGGACCTCCGTTATGAGGTTGGCTGCTGCCTGGTCCTTGCAGGCTGCTTTATAGAAGTTATGTAACATTGTTGAGTTGTCTTCTGGCTTCCCCTAAGCTTTGTTGACTACCCTTCATTAGTTGTGTAGGTCATGGCGAGGTGTTAGGTGGATACCACTCCGCCTATCTTGTGAATGAGCGGTCTGCCCATGATCACATTATAGGGCGAAGGAGAATTTATCACAAGGAATTCTGCTTGAACATCACGCCTTTTTGACCTCTCCCCCACTTGAACTAAGAGCTCGATTATACCTTCCGGGGTCAGCCATGATCCATTAAACCCAGTGACTTCGTAACTCACCCTTTTCAGATCCTTCTTGTCCAACTTCAGCTCGTTGAACGCGCTGATGTATATGATGTTGGCTAAGCTGCCTCCATCTATCAATATCCTTTCCACCTCCCAGTTCGCAATTCTCATTGTCACTACCAGTGGATCATCATGAGGGTAAGTTATGCCTTCCTGGTCATACTCGTCAAACGTGGCTCGCGGCTGCGGGGGAAGAGGTGGCCATCTACGCTTCTCATTGTAGTTTATCTGATGTATCATCACCCGCAGGTCGGCCCGTGCTTTGTTCACTGTTCCTCCATGCACTAGACCTCCACTGATCACATATACTCTGCCCTCTGGCTTACCATCTCTGTCCCCATCCCCAACGGGACCCCTATGGCCCCTTCTGCGGTCAGCGCGACCTGCTCTATCCTCGTCCCTTCTTCTGGGAGGGTCGTCGCGCTGCTTAAACTGATTTAGGTACCCTCTCCTAACTAGATCTTCTATGTTATCCTTCAGGTGTGTGCATTCATCAGTGGTGTGGCCATGGTCTCTGTGAAAGTCACACCACTTGTTGGTATCACGGTTCCTATTGACCATCCTTGGAGGTCTCTGCCACTTATCATCAGCTTTGTTCACTTTAAAGATATGAGATTTTGAGTGGGTTAGCGGGGTATACTGGTCGAACCTTCCAGCTCTTGGCCCTTTCTTTGGATCTGACCTTCTCAACCCCACTGCTCTATCCACTTCTCTGCGACTTTGCTCGGCCCTGCTCGGCTGGTCAACCCTGGGATTGTTCTCTACCCGGGTGACCTCTGGCCGTTTAACTGAGTCGCCCGGTGTCTTCCTACTCAACATTGCTCTGTCAGTTTCGTATGCTTTGATGAAATCGTGCGCTTTACCCAGCGCTTCAGCTAGCATTTTGAGGCTTTTACGCCCGATATACGCTCTGAATGGTAAGCCCGGCAGCAAGCCACTCTGCATTGCTAGCAATGCTACCTCTTGACTCATGTTTGGGATGGTTGTTGCCTCTTTGTTGAATCTGGAGATGAACTCCCTCAGGGGTTCGTCTTTCCCTTGAACTAATGACATCAGCTCAGTTGTCATCTTAGTTCGGTCTACCAGGGTTATGAAATGCTCAATGAGCATTCTCTTCAGCTGGTTATACGAGTACACGGAACATTTGGGAATGGCTCTATACCACTCCGCTGCCAGCCCCTCTAGGGTTGGCGGGAATGCTTTACACCAAACTAAGTCCGTCATGGTGTAGAGTACCATGTGATTCTCAAAAGGTGATATGTGGCTCTTAGGTGTTGTGGTTCCATTGTATCTACAGATCGACATCTTTACTTTCTCCATCGGTTCCTTTAGAATCTCCCGGCAAAATGGGGAAACATCTGGAACAACTTGGATTCGCGCTCGCTTGTCTCTTTCCGGGCTGGGTCCTCGCTCTAAGGCTGGCGACCTGATACGGGGAACTCGCTTCTCCGGGTTGATCTGAGCCTGGGTTACCTCTTCCACACTCCATTCTCGATTAAGATTGCGAGCTTCCAACTCCAATACCCTTTTCCTCAGCTGGACGAGCTCCTTCTGCTCGGGGTGAGGGTTGTGGGCGCTGGCTTCTTTACTACGGGCTCCTCAGCTACCAATGTTGGTGACGGGCTTGCTCCCTTACCCCTATTGGCAAGGACTGCCGTCATTGTTGCCAGCTGCTCTTTACTGCACTTATAGAGGTTCTGTAGGATGGCTGGCATGTTTACGGGCTGCGGTTTCTGGGTTACAGGTACTGAAACAACGGGCTCATTGTTCGCGCCTACTAACGACATTCCGTATTTGAAAATGGAACTGGATCCTGTCGGATCGGTCGGTTTCAACGTCGCTTTAACTGCAGCCGATGCCGATCCGATGAGGTTAGATTTCTGTGAGATGGTCGATTTGGGTTTTTCGGGCTCATTGTTTTTTGCAGTGTTTGATTGGCGTCGTTGGTTTTGGGTATGGGTGTTTGTACAGCCTCTTCTCCGGCCATGGTGGTTTGGTAACTAGTCCCTAGCTCAGTTGACCCTTCCCCTCCTTCTAGCGCCAATTGTTCCAGGTATGGATCCAAGGGTTCTGCTGGGTGAGCTGGGTTCCGTCAACAACCTACTGTACACACCTAAAAATGTCTCCCCAAAAGCAAACCCGATGATGAACAACCTTTCACCGCCACTATTGGTCGGGTTTAGTATTTAATCCCGAGAGTGCTTAAAAAATTGTATTTGATTAAATTCATACTTTTGAACAGTCCATGGATTAGTCTTGTTGTTTGGTTTTGATTTCAGCCCAAACTTATTATTTAATTTTAGCCAAAACCTTTTATTTTATTTTATTGTTTTATTATTTAATTTTGGCCCAAACCTTTTATTTATTTTTATTTAATTATTTTCTTATTTTAGCCCAAATAATAATAAGTCAGAAAAGGCCCGAAATCATCAATCGGCATTTAAAATGCCGAATGAAATTAGGGTTAAAAATGTATTTAGACGGAAAAATAGGCTGGAAATTCTCGCGCCACGGCAGGTACCCATCGTGTCACGGGAATCCTTCCCGTCTGATGGTGGGATTTCCCGTGACACGGGAAGTCTGCCGTGACACGGGACATTCCGTGTCTTTTCCGCGTAAACCCTTAACGCGTTTTCTATCCCGTTTTTTGAAAATTTCCCGCGTCACACTAAAAATGTACCGTGACACGGGAAAGTGTGCCGTCTGACGGTGGGACTTCCCGTGTCACGGTACAGTTTGCCGTGTCACGGGATACTTTTTTAGGGTTTTTATCATTTTAGGGTTCCATGTGCTCCCTTAGCACATTTTCCCTATAAATACCCCCTAATTTCTGATGTACGAGGCACGGAGTAATTCTGTGATTTATTTTTCTCTCTTCTATGCTTTAGCCTAAACACTAGCCTCCCCTTTTCACTTCAAAATTCCTTCTTCAAGTGCTCAAAGGAGTCCATACTTTACTCGTGGTTCTGTCCTTAAGCCAAGGCGTGAAAGGTAGAACTGTTTGAGGGTTTGGCCCCAAAATCAAATTTACTTTATTTAATTTAATTTAATCATCGTTTTATTATTTCCTTGAAGTTACTAACTCGTTTATTATTTTGTAGTTGCAAACAAACAGAATCAAAATAAGAATCATATTCTTTTTATTTCTATTATTTTTCAAACAATTTTATGTTGTTGGAATTGTGATTAAATTGCTTCCAATATTAATGGTAATTCTATTATTTCTATGATCACCATATTGCATGTTAAAGGGAATATGTAATTGAAAATCACGCCTAATAAGATAATTTGGACAACCGGTTTAGGTTCCTTTTTAATCTTGTTAATTAATTCAAGTGATCACCAAATATTTTAGAATTATGTGTGCATTAATATTCAACCAATTTAGTTAAATAATAGTTTGGAGTGAATTGAATATTTTGTTTGTATGCCTTTGAGATCACAGGAATGCTTTTCAATATAAGAATCGAGTAGAGGCCAATACGGGCGAATGTGACTCCATGACTCACATCGTACCATCATCCCCGATCCTCCTTTCGTGGTTCCGAACCATATGGAGTTAGTAATATCATGGATTATGAATGGGGTGTAACCTTCACGGGTCAATCGTTTTTGCCTATCGTTGTCCCTTATCGTGTTTGCCTTTTATGATCCGTGAACGGTTTACAAGTTCCTTAAAAACTTGTTGGCGGCTCCCTACTTTCCTTGTCCCTAATCGTATTATGTCAATTCCCACTTCCTATGAGTGCCAAGCATATTTACACATGCTTTTAACGTAGGCGCACTTCAAACGACGCCTACACCTACACACGATAGCACACGTAAACTGCCCTCGGGGGTGGCTCGAGGAACCCCCCTCCAAATCTTAAGTTAGAAAGTGTTTAGAGAGAGAAAGTGTACTTAGAGAGATATAGAAAGTGTAATAACTTGAGTGTCTAACCTCCTTTCCGTTGTACTTTACCCTCTATTTATAGGCATACCATCTCCTTCATGGAGAGTTCAGCCTGGTCAGCCCTGCGGGCTGACTCCACCGGGCTAATGAGCCTTCCTTAATTGCCTTCTTGGCAGTGAGTGCGCACCCTGGGGCTAGGCGATAGTTCAGCGGGAGCTATCCTATACAGGGTTGATGAGAGAACTATTAATTTTAATTTCGAAAGTTATGTTAATTTTAATTTTAATCTTTTGCTATTGTTGATTTGTTGAACCGTAGGTCACCTCTTCTCACATCCATTCTCTTTTTCTTCCTTTTCCCGACTATTCATCTACTTGGATTTTTGTTACAAGAGTTTTTCATCATCTTTCATTAATAACAATTTTAATTGTGTTTAATCTTTTTATATTACTACCTGGTGTTAATTATGGATTTTTCTTTCTCTTTACTTATATTCTTTCATTAAAAATATACGACTAATAATTTATTCATTTTGCATTCTTGCTGTTTTTTATTTTATTTAACATAATATACTAAATATAATTTATTCGAATTGCTCTTTTTTTAGTTTGAAACATTTAATTACTTTGTATAATCAATTTTGTTATGTTTCTATTCCTTTCATCCTATAATGCTCCTACTTCTGTTGATTTAAATTAGTCTGTGAAAGAACTTGTGATTGAAAAAATAAGCAATTAGTTTCCTTTTGTTAACAAATTTACATTCTGAAATATTTGTTGTAAAAAAATGGACGATAATACTATGGCATCTGTTGCCCCAACAAATCCATCAACTGATGAGGATCCCTTGGCTTCTATTGCTACTGTTGAGGAGCATGCCGGAAATGAAAAACCATCACAACTACCTGTTCCAAAAAAAGGCTTTCAAATGGAGCTGGAAAAAAAAGGTAAGAAGAAAAGATCTTGGCTTTAGAATCATTTTGAGTTAATAATAAAAGAGGGGGATAAAAGATCAAAATTTGTGTATTGTAAAGTTGATGTTTGTGGTGACTCTAAAAGTGTACAAGTGTTATAAAAAATCATCTAGAAAGGTGTAAGGATTACCCCCCTAATATTGACAAATCCCAAAGGCTTCTGGCTTTTCAACCTGAGCAAAGTCAGCAAACATCAGGAGATGCTAGTGTTGGTGATAATTCAAGTGGGGAACAGACGGGGCGTTTGGAATGTGAGAATGGGAGTTTGGGGATTAAAATGTGGGAATGGGATTGGGAATTGATTGTTGGGAATATAGAAAAATATGACAATACTTTGTTTGGGTATTAGATGGGAATAGATGGGGAAAAATAACAAAAATACAAAATTACCCTTTACTAATCTTTCTCCTCCATTTCTTTCATTAATGGCAAAAATGTCATTTTGCACATAGTTCCATTCCCACCCATTTATTACCTACCCTCCCTAGGTAATAAAATGGTGGGAATTCACCCTTCTTTAATCTCAATCCCATCCCTTCTTTAATCCCAATCCCATCTAACAAACAAGAGATTTTGTTTTATTTGGGATTAAAATTCTCATTCCCACCCTCAATTCCCATTTACCAAACACCCCTAGAAGGGTAAATTAGAATTTTGGAATTTTATACAGGAGGAGGGTCGAAAAGCTTTTGCTAAAATGATAATAATGGATGAATTGCCCTTTAGGTTTGCTGAATGTGAGGGTTTTTGCTACTTTATGTCTGTTCTTCGGCCAAATTTCCTTATCCCCTCTCGTTTTACAGTAGCTAAAGATTGCTATTGTGTGTTTTTAGATAAAAATAATCTGAAAATTTATTTTAGCAAGTGTTCTTCTCGTATTTCTCTCACTAGTGACACGTGGACCTCTTGTCAAAATATGTCATACATGTGTTTAACAACCCATTTTATTGATCACAATTGGAACTTGCATAAAAAAATTTAAATTTTTGTCCAATTAGTGGCCATTCAGGTGAGGTTATTGGTATAGCGGTAGAAAAATGTTTGCTTGAGTGGGGTATCAATAAGGTAATGACCATTACCGTAGATAATGCAAGTTCAAATGATGTAGGGGTCCAATATTTGAGGAAGCGGCTACTAAGATGGAAAGATGGGACTGTTTTAGAGGGTAAATTTGTGCATATGCATTGTGCAACTCACATTCTTAATTTGACAATAAGAGAAGGTTTGAAAGAATGTGATGAATCAATAATAAGAATACGTAATGCTGTTCGATTTCTTAGATCTTCCCCTGCTAGATTGCAAAAATTCAGAAATAATTGTGTAAATCAAGAACAAATTGAATCTAAACGTCAGCTTTGCTTGGATGTTGAAACTAGGTGGAACTCCACTTATTTGATGCTGGAGTATGCTTTGATTTATCGTACGGCTTTTGATTTTCTTGGAAATTCTTATGGTGGCAAATTTTTTTCTAAGTTAACAAAGATGTGGGGTGTTCCTACTGTTATTGATTGGGAGTGTTTTTTTTTTAACTCTTTCTTAAGATTTTTTATGATGCAACTTTGAGACTATGGAGATCTTTGTATGATACTACTAATGTGTAATTGTTAGAACTTGTGACTATTGGGAAGATGATAAAAAAAAGTGTGAAAGTCTTGATAGTGGTGAAAAGTTAATGGCCTATGGGATGAGGAAAAAGCATGACAAATGTTGGGAAAATGTGGATAACATTAACTTGATGTTGTATATTGCCGTTGTGCTTGACCCTAGACGTAAAATGCATTATGTTAAGTGGGCTATAAATGATCAATATGATTCTAACAAGGCTACACAGTTGTATGATATGGTGATGGGAACTTTGACCTCTTTATATGAACATTATGCTGCTTTACAATCTCAAAATGTGCCAAGTGTGTCTGAAAATATTGATTTGACTTCAAAAGACTTGGAAAACTTTAATGATTGGCATGATGTTGATGATTATGAATTTGAGAAGGATATTGGTGGACAAACAGTTTTTGACAAAAAAAAGTGATTTGGACAAGTATTTGATGATGGATGATAGATAGCCTAATATCATTGGTAAGAGTTTTGATGCTTTGGGATGGTGGAAAAAAGGGGTGGAGAGGTATCCTATAGTTGGTATTATGGCTAGGGATATATTAGCCATTCCGGTTTCCACTGTTGCATCCGCATCCGCATTTAGCACCGGTGGAAGAGTACTTGATCCATTTTGTAGTTCACTTTCTTCACATATGGTTTAAGCTTTGATATGTACAGAAGATTGGATGCGCACTACACGTGGTCCACTTATGATTGAAGAAACTATCGATGACATTCAACAAATTGAAGAGGGTAATATTTTTTCCTTTTGTTATTGAATATTTTTAATGTTTCTGCGACTATGTTTTTCTTTTATTAATTTTAAGTGTGAACCTCGATCCTTTGTTTAGTTGTCTAACTGACATTCTTTATATGTTTGCTCTACAATTTTTTTTATTTTCTATAAACTTCAGACATTTGAATTATTGTTCAGTTATGATCTTCAGTTTACTAGTTTATTTGTCTAATTTAATTATTGTTTTGTTTTGTTCTGTTCTGTTCTATTCAAATGGGTTGTATGTTCTGATCAGTTTTTTTGTGTTGTGAACGGTGGATTTCTTTTGTGAGAATTCATTATTTTATTTTGGACTTTTGCTAGAATGTTGAAATTTGTTCAATCTAATCAATTGAAATTTTGGTTCTTTTTTAGTCCTTAAGATGAGCATATTGTATGGCTCTATGCTCTGGCAGCTCACAAGATACTTGATATGATGAATTTCTTGTTTTTTTTTATCTTTACTACTTGGTTGACAATTAATGTGAGCTCTTAAGTGTGATTAATTAGTAGAACTTAGATTGTCATATGAAATTTACTAATGCATTTTCATCATATTATTTGTAGAGTTGTCGTCTCATGTTGATCCGCCTTCCGTTTTCATCGTTGACGATTAGTTTTAGTATTAAAAGGTAATACTTTTTTTTAGTTTGAATATTTTAAAAGTTATAGTTTAATTTATGCAATTTTTTCTTGTTTTTATTGATGTTATGATTATCTAATATTTTGTTATTTTATATTTTGTAGAGTTGTTGACTTGCCAATTGACATACACTCATACCTTGTTGATCCGCTATTGGTTTCCGGCGTGATGAATTTTTTTAGTATTAGATTAAATGTTTCATTGTTAACATTTGGACATTAACATATTTGGACTTTGAATTTTCTTTGTCATGTAATATTGTAATTTGTACTTTTTTTAGCAATTAGCCAATTAGTTTGCATTTTGCAGGATGTGTAATGTGTATAATTTTATTATTTTGTAATTTCTGAAAATTTGTTGTTGGACAATAATTTCAACTCTATTTTAGCTCTCTTTCACTCTTTGTTTAGGTTGTAAATTAATTGTCTACATAGTTAAAAAGGTCAAGAAGTCAATAACATGAGGAAAAAAAAGGGTCAAATAATCAATTTGGCCATTCAAAAACCCTTACAGTAAAGTATTCGGATATTGAATATCCGAACTATATATCCGATCCCAAAATTTCGCATATCCGGATTTTCAGATATATGAAATTTTCGGATCGGATACGAGTATTAGATATCCGTTTTTTCGGATACGGATATCCGATCCAAAATCCAAATTCGGATCGAAAATCTGATTCGTGATCAGCCCTACAACATATGCAAATAATTAGACAAAAAAGGAATAATTTGAAGTCTTATTAAAAGAAGAAAAAAAATACTACTTTAATACCCAATAAAGATGGTAAGAAAGATACGAAAATATATATTGGTAGAACATATATGGAAGAATTGATATCAAATATAGAAGTTAATGTTTGACCCAAAAAAAAACATTTAGGCGGATATTTTTTTAATTAGAAGGTGACACGCGCGTGTCATCTTAAAGTTCACCTTTAGTATAAAGTTATAGAAGATAGATTCATCATGATTGAGGTTTAAATAAATTAAATGAAAAGAATATAAAAATATATGAAAAATCTTATATCTTTTGTAATATTTATTCTATTATTATTTTATAGAAGCTAGATTATCAGTAATTTTTCAATAAACAATTTACTCCCTCTGTTTCATGATGTTCTTCTAATTTAAAATTTTTTGTGAGACAAAACTGGTCAAAGTGGTAAGAATAATATAAAGCAAAGGGAATAATATTTTTAATTGCTACAACATAATTTAATTTTGTGTTTTGAAAATTTTATTATGCATTGCAATAGATAAATAAGATTGATAGAATATTGATTATTGCATTGGTGATATATCGATTTACAAATAACATAAATGATTTTGAAAACTTAAAATTTCATAGCCAAAATATTTATAAATGTATGTATACGGATCGGAGTAGCAAAGAACAATATAATATTTTTCTCTTTAATTCATGAGGTCGAGTAAGATATGTATACGAATCGGAGTAGCAAAGAACATATAAATATCATATTTACAAATATTTTGATCAAATACTAAAAAAATATATATAACTGTAAATACTTAAAGATGATTCCCTGACCGAAACTAGAAAATAAGTAAAATCTTTCATCGCCATTGGTTCGAGTAGAGTATAGATTAAAAGGAACACTTGGTCTAATTAATAAACCATGTTTTGGTGCCAAGTTTTTCCTTTTCTATCTAGCTCTTTCTCTCCACTAGTTTGACCATCATAATTTCTTCTTCTCGCTCTGGCGAGGAGGCTTTGGGAGTCTCCTATTTTTGAGAATAGCTTTTTCATTCTCAAATTGTTTTTTCTTTGTGCTTATTTCTTTTGCAAGCATTGCAGTTAGCTAGGTAGCGCCGGTTATCCCTTCAAGTTTCTTGCGGTTCCAATGGAAGCACCTATGGAACCTCCGGACCCCATCCCTTCCATGGTAGACACTACTATGAAAGACGCTACTCAAGTTGATGATATGGTTAAATCATCTCCAAATTCACCTACAACAATTTCTGTTGTCAAACAACCTGTTTCCTTTAGGGATGTTGTCCAAAGCTCGTCACAATGGTTCAATGAAGCTCGCAATATTTCCATTACATCTTTGCAATGGGAGGACGATCATGTTAATCCTCTTGATACAACGAAGGTTGTCTCTTTCCCGAAAGAAACTTTAGACAAACGAAGACACCCTTGGAAACTTACCCTGATGGGTAAATCTTTAGGTATCTCTATTCGTCCATCTTTCCTAACACAAAGAGTGAGGGCTATGTGGAAACCCAAAGGAACTTTAGAAGTTATTGAACTTGGAAAGGATGTTTTTTTATTTAGGTTCTCCATGCAAGATGACTATGAACGAGCTCTTCTTGGGGGTCCTTGGTTCATTCTCGATCATTACTTAATGATCACGAAATGGAAACCTAATTTTCGCCCTTCTATGAATCCTTTTGATAGAATGACAGTCTGGATCCGTTTCCCAGAACTACCAGTTGAATATTATGATAGAATCGCCCTTTTTGAAATTGCAAAAAAAGTTGGGAATCCGATAAGAGTTGATTACGCTACTGTTCACCTAACCAAAGCGAGATATGCTAGGGTGTGCATCGATATTGATCTCTCCATTCCTTCAGTTGATTCTATTTGGGTTAGAAATGGTTGGAAACAAATTGAGTACGAAAATATAAACTCATTATGTATTCATTGTGGCAGGATAGGCCATCCAAAAGAATCTTGCACCATGTTCCAAGCTATGAAGAATAAAGGCACAGTGACTACTCAAGATGATCCTTCAACATCATCAACTTCTATTACTAAGCCCAACCCAATCATAGCCCAGTCCCTCCACCCAACACCCTTCATCGACAACCCCCATCAACAACACTATCCCTAGCATCGCCTGCTCAGCCACCGCATTCTCGCTCTCCACCTCCCACTCTTCTGGGTCGACCAATCTCACCCTCCCCCCTTCCATCAACCATTTGTCTCCCATTTACCCCTTACCGTCAGAAAATAACCCCATCACATCCACTTTCAATCAGTCGCAATTCACAACCTTCTCTTCTATCTCCAACCACTGCCGCGAGTTCCTCCTGTCAACAAACTCCAACTGCGACATCTCTTCTAAGCCCTCAAGTGTCTCTGAACCAGGTTCGAAAATGCTATCAATCTCCGCAATCTCAATTTCGACCATCTAATCCCCTGCTTTGGCCATCCCTGGAAACGCCAATTACTCCGACGAAATTATCACTGATGCACGAAACTCTCCTTCAATTGAACTCTCTTTCACCCCAAATCAAAACACAATCCCATAAACAACCTTCTCACCATTGGCTACGGAACCAAGCCCGATGGCCGAAGTATCCCCCTCACTCCCTAGCACCAATCCCGACAAATCTACCCATTCGAATGTTAACTTTAGACCACAGCGAGATAAACGCCGAATTTCCAGAAAACCTTGTGACTTAATAAATGAGTCAAAAGGGTGTAGTGGGCCTTCGAGTAGAGGTCAACTTCTGGGAGACGACCCTAACAACAAGGGAGGTCCACCTAATGATGGAACCTCTTGCCCTAGAGGATACACTCACTCTGAAACAGTCAGCGGCATGGAAGGATTGGGAGAAGGAGTTACCCTTCATCCACCCAACTGAGTTAAAATCGGCTTCTTATAACTTGCTTGAATTTCCTAATTTAAATATGAAAATTATTGTTTGGAATGTTCGTGGAGCAAACCGGGATGAATTTATCCCACAGGCTATGGATATTATAGCCACTCATAAGCCGAGTAATTTTATCGTTCTAGAAGCCAAAAGCAATGGAATTCGGGCTAAGAATGTTAGTAAACTTCTAGGCTTTGATGGTCTTCAATTCATCGACCCTAATGACACTAGAGGTGGGATTTGGATATTGTACAAACCGACAGTTAAACTGATTCTCTATGATGATGATAGGAAAAATTATTTCCATGCCCTCTTTAAATTCAATCCCAACAACAAAGAGGTTTTGCTTACTGGGGTTCACGCACCTTTAACTAGGGGTGAGCATGGGACGCATACCCGTACCGTTAGTACTAACAGTTCGAGTACCCGATAACCAAAATCACTAAAAGTGATACCCATAACCGGAACCGATAAGTTCGGGTACCCGGATTTTCGGATCGGTTATCGAGTACCCAATAAGATATACAATAATGATAATTAAACTTAATTATGTAGTTATTATGATATAATTTACAACTAATTAAAAATAATACCATATGATCTTGACCAAATTATTAATAATATTACTAATCATTGATATTATAAAGTGATTATGAAGTAAAGTAAAAGTTTAGATTTATATTAATAGATTTAAGTAGAGAAAAAAAGCAAAAAAAATGCTTATCGGATCGGACCAAGTAACCGTTAATTTTAAAATGATACCCATAACCATACCCGATAATAAATTATCGGAATGGGTACCCGAACCGTTATGGTTATCGGATCGGGTACCCTAATTTTCAGAACGGTTACGGATCAATTTTTCGGGTTTTCAGTTTTTTGGGTAGTTTTGCTCAACCCTACCTTTAACAGCTGTTGATCGCCATCGCTTTTGGAGGCAAATCAGAGAAAATTTACCCCCTGATGATACTCCCTGGATGATGGTCGAAGATCTTAACGAGGTCATGTCTCAAGCTGATAAGATGGGAGGAAGAGGTTTTCGTCAATCTCAATGCAAAGATATGAGAATGCTCGTTGATGCTGCTTGTCTTGTTGATTTGGGTTACAATGGTAACCCCTATACATGGCATAATGCCAGGGAAGGGGCTGCTAACATCCGTGAGAGACTTGATAGGGCTTTGGCAAACCCGAGTTGGCTCAATACTTTCCCTAACACTATGGTAACTCACCTTCCACGTACCTTCTCTGATCACAACCCTTTGTTAATAACTTTATTTAATCTGCATATTGCTGGTAACTATCCCTTTCGATGTAAGATGGCTTGGCTTGATCATGATGAATTTAAGGATTACTTTGTCAATAATTGGAATGATGGAAATAGAGACTTTCTGGCAGGAAGAGCAAATTTTCTTAATTCTATTAAAAATTGGAATGAAAATATTTTTGGTAACATTATCAAACATAAGAAACGTTTAATTGCTATAATTAACGGAATTCAATTAAGCCTTTCTAAACATTTTTCAAACTTCCTTTTTCAACTTGGAAAAGATATTATCCGTGATTTGAATTGTATTTATCATGCTGAAAAAATTATATGGGCACAAAAGGCTGGGCTTGATTGGCGTAAATATGGTGACTGTAACACAAAATACTTTCACTATTTTGCTAAGTTTAAAAAATCCAGAGGCCGCATTCTTTGTTTACAAGATAACAATAACAATTTGGTGGATGACCAATTTGCTCTAAAAGAGTTAGCAAGAAATTATTTTATTAATATTTTCACCTCTACTGCCTCTCTGGACCAAAAGTTGATGAAGTCTTTTTCTTACCCTAAAACTATAGATGAAACTTCTCTTAATTCTATAATTGCTAGCCCTTCAACTTAAGAGATCTTTGCTAACTTATTACACTCAGATGACTTACAAGCTATCTTTTCCAAAAAAATTGGCCTGAACTAGCAGCCCCTATTTCTAATTTTGTTTAACAATGTTTTTCCCAAGGAGCCATTCCTAGTGACATTAACAACTCTTACCTTTGTCTTATTCTTAAAAAGAATAAACCTCAAACTATGAAATACTCACTAGGCGAAAATTGCTAATGGCCACCGGTTGAAAACCCCCCATTGCCACCGGTTTTGAACCGGTGGTCATTTGGGGGGTGGCAATAAAGCATCTCATGGCCACCGGTTCAAAACCGGTGGCAATAGTCTTCATGGCCACCGGTTAACCGGTGGCAATAGTCTTCATGGCCACCGGTTAACCAGTGGCAATAATAATTATGGCCACCGGTTAACCGGTGGCAATAAAAATGGCGTGGTTTTTTTTGGAGGGGAAGGCTGACTATTGCCATCGGTTTGAACCGGTAAACCAGTGGCAATAATAAGGATCTAAATTTATTTATTTTTTTGCTTGCAATTATTCCTGCAACTGATCCTGCGATAATATTCTGCCATATTATTGCTAGAAATTCTGCCATAATATAATTATTATTAATAATCATAACAAGAATTAAAAATATATATTTAGACTTTTATAATTAAAAACCAAATGCAATACAACAAATTAAATAAAGTGTGATATACAAATAAATACAAACAATACTAATAACTAGTCAATATTGTAGTCTAAAAGTTAATAAATAACAAAGTATAAATTCAAAATGATGCCACATTTACAACTTGAAGGTGATGAAAGATGCCAACATGTCTCGAACTTCATTAAGCTCCTTGCTTGTTAATGGATCTCCCTTTTGCACCTTGCAAAACTTGGAATATATATAAATTATGTTAGAATAAATTAAATTAATATGTAAAAAATTAAACACTTGGAAAAATTAAAACAGTCGCATTTTCATCCAAAATAGCCAAAATAAGGCCTATTTGACTTCTATTTGCCCATTTTCTACATTTTTAAAAAAATGACCAAGTTCTTTCTCATAACATGTCAATTATACTTAGTTATAGGTGGCTAAGCCTTGAAATCACAAAAAAGGGCATTTTACTAAGTTTAAGGTCGCATTTTCATCCAAAATAGCCTAAAAAGGCCTATTTGACTTCTACTTGCCCATTTTCTACATTTTTAAACAAATGACCAAGTTATTTCTCATAACATGTCAATTATACTTAGTTATAGGTGGCTAAGCCTTGAAATCACATAAAAAGGGCATTTTACTAAGTTTAAGGTCGCATTTTCATCCAAAATAGCCAAAATAAGGCCTATTTGACTTCTACTTGCCCATTTTCTACATTTTTAAACAAATGACCAAGTTCTTTCTCATAACATGTCAATTATACTTAGTTATAGGTGGCTAAGCCTTGAAATCACAGAAAAAGGATATTTTACTAAGTTTAAGGTCGCATTTTCATCCAAAATAGCCAAAATAAGGCCTATTTGACTTCTACTTGCCCATTTTCTACATTTTTAAACAAATGACCATGCCTAAGGAACCTTCGAGTCCTTATATACACATCTTTGTGAGAATTCTTAAGGTATATGCTTGATGTTTCATCAATACATATGGGGCATGCTTTTTTCCCTTTAACCTTGTACCCACACAGGTTGCCATATGCAGGGAAGTCATTTATGGTCCACATAAGGGCTGCATGCAATGTGAACACCTCGTTCTTATGAGCATCAAAACAAGAAACCCCTTCGTCCCACATCTTTCTCAAATCATCAATTAGTGGCGCAAGGTAAACATCTATGTCATTCCCAGGTTGCCTAGGCCCCGTTATTAGCAATGAAAGCATTATATACTTCCGTTTCATACATAACCAAGGAGGCAAATTGTAGATCACTAAAAGAACTGGCCAAGTGTTGTGTTGGGTACTAAGAGTGCCAAATGGATTCATCCCGTCTGTGCACAACCCAAGTCTTAAATTTCTGACTTCATTACCAAACTCCAGAAACTTCAAATCAATGTTCTTCCATTGCGAGGAGTCAGCCGGATGCTTTAGCATTCTGTTTTTCTTCCTTCCCTCGGCATACCACCTTACGTTTTTAGCGTCTTTTGGTGTTGAGAAAAGACGCTTAAACCTTGGAATAATAGGAAGATACCACAACACCTTAGCAGGAGGTCCCTTCGTACCAGGATTGCAACTCATGCGCTTGTAGCGCGATTGCTTGCATCGTGGACACTCCTCCAATTGTTCATTCTCATTACGATACAAAATACAATCATTAGGACAGGCATGTATCTTCTTAAACTCTAAACCAAATGGACACATAAGCTTTTTTGCATAATAATAAGACGTAGGAATTTCATTCCCATCAGGCAACATCTCACTTAATGCGGTCAATAAAGAAGTAAAACTAACGTCCGTCCACCCATGCTTCGACTTAATGTTAAAAAGTGTTAGCACGGTAGAAAGTTTGGAGTATTTTTTGCACCTAGGGTACAAAGGCTTTTTGGAAGCCTCCAATAATAATTGAAACACATCACCTTCGACATTATGCAGCATCTCATCCACGTCATTATCCTCGACCTCATCCACTGGATGATCCTCAGCTCCATCCTCACCACTATCAATAACATATTCATCATTCTCCCATTCCTCGTCCACATGAATCTCATTGCTTTTATCATGCACATCATTCCCATCAAGATCCTCACTATACTCTCCACTTTCACCATGCCAAATCCACACATGGTATTTAAGTCTAAACTCACGACAAAGTACATGATCTCTAATGATTTCAACACTATTGACCACCTTCACATTATTACAATCAACACAAGGACAGTATAGGCCTTCCTCACCAATTTTGCGCTGATAAGATAAAGCCGTCTCGCAAAACTCTTGAACCCCATTCCAAAAATCCATTGTATCACGTCTACCATACATCCAACCACGATCCTTTCCCATTTAGTAAAGTGTCTCTAAACATATATAGCAACATATTATCAATAATGTACAATTGCTATATATCTTATGTAAATCAACTTCAAGTACACATCATCAATATACCATTCATATAGTGAACAAATGCATGTTTCCAAAGTGTCCTTATCACTCCAACCTAACCCATCCTTGAATGTCTACTCTCACTTGAATGTATGTCAACTTTCCAATTTTAAGGAAAATCCGGCAGCACTTCCCCCCAGTTCTCCAAGTACAAGATGTAGATAATTACTTACCCACATATGTACCCAGAGAACATGGAGAAGAAATGGACAACCAAGATGTTCCTTAAAATCGAAAAAAAGACATACATTCACCACCTAAGTGAGAGTAAACATTCAAGAACAGTCCCAACCGGGGATTATTCAAGACTTTCTCCTAATGAGAAAGCCTTGAACGAGTATCTAGGCATATGATGATGCAAACATTCAACATATTATTGTAATTATTTATTATTAAACAAGACACAACTTGTAATATCATGAACAAACTTTTATCAAATAGATAAATAGAAAGAAATATATATAGCTCCATAAAGTTTATAGTTCATACCAATATAGCAAGTATAATGGATGTAATGTCTCGAACTTCTCACTTGAATAGCTAATAAACTTGTGCTTCACTACATATGAATCTACAAAAATAAAAAAATACAACAATAAAATAAAAGTTAGTAATTTTGTCAAGAACTATAAAACAACCTAAAATTACACATTAAAACATACTACCAAATTCAACTAATTAATTAACAAGTTTACTAATAATCTCTACTTTATTCAAAATTTCCTAATAAAACCTAACAATCAATTTCACACCACTCCAACATATCAAATTATACTCCATAATCCATATATTTCCTAAAAGCATTAGGAAAATCATTATGTAACGTAATCTAAAACGGATTACTCCTCAATCTAACTCCAAAATAATTCAATAATTCATACTATACTTAACCAAAAATTAAGCAACAACAACAAATTGTTAATAATAATAATACAATGAAAAAATAAAAAAAATTGTTCAAAATATATTTTCCATTATACTGTTAATTCATGAACAATTAATCAATTTCTTGCATTCTAAAGATACACACAATTAAACAATTTCTTGATTTCTAAAGTGCATTCTCTAAAATTTTAACCCTACTAACAACAAAAAAAAACCCAAAAAATTCAGAAAAATTAACCAAAAAATCTCTTTTTCCTCTCATTTACACTGTTTTTATTCTTATGGTTTCACCTCTAATTGCAGTTTCTTTTTTTCAATAATCTGGCGTAATTCTGATTTAGTATAAGCACTTACTTCCAAATTTCAAGTTTATGATTCACTAATATCAAGTAATTGCAGTTTTTTTTTTCAATTAACCTAATTCATGAACAATTCAGAAAAAATTACCCTAACAACAACAAAAATAAAACATAGAAATTCAGATAAATTATCGTCTATTAATCAGCATTTCGAACGGTGGCTGTGGGATGGTGGTGCGGTGGTTGTGGCGTCAGTGGTGGAGTGTGTGGTTGCTGCTTGCTGCTGCTTTTTTTTCAATTTCGAACGCTGCTTGCTGCATCGCTCACTGGTGGAGGAGGTTCGGAGGGAGTGAGGAGGTGGTGGAAGGTGGTGCGGCGTCGCTGGTGGAGTGTGTGGTGGTAGGGTTTGGATGGTGGTGCGGCGTCACTGGTCGTGGCTCGTACTGGAGTTTTGGTGGAAATAAAATAGTGGAGAGAAGAAGAATCTTGGGCCGCGCGTTTTATATATTCAAATATTGCCACCGGTTCAAAACCGGTGGCCTTTAAGCGGTGGCATTTTTAATTTTTCTACTAGTGACTTTCGCCCAATAGGTCTTTGTAACACTATTTATAAACTAGTCACTAAATGTATCTCTAGTAGAATAAAACCTTTTTTAGATAAAGTTTTATCCCTAATAGAACGATAGATGAGAATATAATCATTATCAAGGAGGTTGCTCATAAGTTTAATAAATCTACT